GGGGTGTCCCCGGGGGGGGGGGGGGGGGGGGGGGGGGGGGGGGGGGGGGGGCGGGGGGGGGGGGGGGGGGGGGGGGGGCCCGGGGGGGGGGGGGGAGTGCCCGGGGGGTGTCCCCGGGGGAAGGTGCCGGGGCACGATGCAGAAGGGTATGGGGCACCCACGAGCCCCCCAGCACCCACAACCCCTCCTGCACCCCCCGGGTGCCGCTCTGGGCCCTTCCTGCACCCCCAGACTCCCCTACACCCTGAAGCCCCCCGTATCTCGGTGTCCCCCGGATGCCCCGGCTGCAGTGGTGGGGACCCCGGGGGATCCCCGTGCCCGGAGAAGGGGTCAGGATGMCGATCCAGGGGCCCCCGGTGCCGCGGGAGGGGTACGGGGGGGGGTGAGTCAGGGCCCAGCCACGCGCCCGTGACTCACCCCGGGGTGGGATCGGCGGGTCCGGACAAAGGCCCTTTGACAGGAATGGACTCCCCCGACACCCCCGCAGACATCCCCCAAACCGTCAGGGCCCCTCCCAGCCCCTGCTGGGTGTTTGGGGGGCATCCCCGAGCCCCCTCCCCCACTGCAGGCCCGGCACCAAGCCCCGACTTGCAGCGGGTGGTGAATCACCGGAGCCGGGCAGGACCGGGCCGGGGGCTGGGGCACCGCTCAGGGCACCGAGACCCCCGGCAGGGGCCATGGGGACCCTGGGACAGGGCACCGGGACCATCGGCACCGCCGGGACCATCGGCACCGCCGGGACCGCCGGGACCGCCAGGGTGGGACACCGGGACCACCACAGCAGCGGCGCTGAGATGGACCAGGAATGAAGCGTCGGAGCCCATGTGCCACTGTGTGCCACCGCACGTGCGACGAGCAGCTCTACYCCCCCTTTCCCAGCCTCAGTTTCCCCGCTCATATCAGAGCAGACTGTGCCAAGAAGCCCCTGCGCTCCCCAACCATTTTGGGGGAGCTGCTGCGCTGGTTGGGGTTCAGCAGAGGGAACACAGAGCTGCCCCTCTGCAGAGCCTCCCGAAACCCCCCGAAACGCCGGTCCCAGCTCTGAAGGGTTAACGGCGGCCAGGGATGAATGGGGCGGGCTGTGGGGCGGGGATGAATGGGGCGGGGATGAATGGGGCGGGCTGTGGGGCGGGGATGAATGGGGCGGGGATGAATGGGGCGGGGAGGAAGGCGGCGGGCTGTGGGGCGGGCTGTGGGGCGGGGATGAATGGGGCGGGCTGTGGGGCGGGGATGAATGGGGCGGGGATGAATGGGGCGGGCTGTGGGGCGGTGCGTGTGGCCACGGGCGGGGCCGTCGGGCTGAGCTGACTCCTCCTTTCTCCGCCCGCCGTCAGAGCCGGGGGACTCGGGGGCACCTGGGGACAGCCCAGCCCCAGCGGGGGAGATTCTCATAGTTTTCCCCAGCCCTGGGGCGTTCTGGGACAAGAGCCGCTTTGGGGTCAAATCCGGGGGAATTTGGGTTCAGCTGGTTAATGAGGGCCCCCCGACATACCCAGTTTATTCCCTTTTCCCAATTTCTCATTCCAGAAGGGCCATTTGCTGCTCCACTAGGKAGCTCCTGGAATGTGCTGGGATTCGGTTTGGTGTAAATTATCCTTGGATTCGGTGCCTCGTTAGGGAGGGATCACTGGAGAGAGGGAATGCCACGAGCAGGATCGGATCCCGCGAGGAGATGGAGAACGGGTCCTGCTGGGTGATGAGGGATGAGGCGGGGACACCCCGGAACCCCGCGATGGTGAACAGGGAAAGATGCTGGATCCTGCCGGGGCCAGGGGATGAGAACAGATCCCCGATCCCAAATCCCARTGGGGGATGGAGGACAGGATCCTGGATCCTGGTGGATGGAGGGTGGTGTTGGACCCCTTATCCCAACAGGSGATGGGGGAGAGTGTCAGATCCCAGATCCTGCCATTGAATCCCAGTGCTGCAGAGGCCTGTCAGTGAGGTTCAAGTAAAGCTGCTGACATTCAAGTGTGTCCTGTGACTCAATGGGGCATGCCGAAGATCCTAATGACCCTCATTAGGGAGAAATCTACCAAATAGAAGATCCTAATGACCCTCATTAAGGAGAAATCTACCAAATCGAAGATCCTAATGACCCTCATTAGGGAGAAATCTCCCAATGGACTGCGGGATTTCCCCCAGCAGAAGCAGACAGAGGGTCTCTGCATTGTGGCCCTCAGGTGCGGAGCTTCTAAAGTACCCAAAATCCATTATCTTCCCCTAAAATGCAGAKACTCCGGGATTCCTGGGGTGCCCAGGGGGCAGGGTGGTGAGGCTTTTAGTCTGCAGTGATTTTAACCAAACTAGAGTGATTTAGCCAGTGGCTGGACATTTACACGAACCGAACCCCGGGGCGCCGGCCGGTCGGAGTGGGCTGGCAGAGGCGGCAAGGCGGCTCCTGTGACCACGCAGACTCCACGGGGCACGTGCAGTMGGCCCCAGAGAACAGGAAGTACAGGACCCCCATAAAAGTGGAGCTGCGTCCAGGTCCAGACCGTGGGCATCAGGAGCCGGAGTGGCACCGGGAACAAGCAGAYTGGGAGCACTGTGGTGCCCAGGCCCACATCAACAGGAACGCCGAGAGAACCAGCCCCACACCCCACCAGGAGCACCGGGAGCAGGAGCCACATCCAGCCATGCACCGCGCTGGGAGCACCAGTGGAGTGAGGAGTGGCATTTGTGCCAGCGTCACACCGGGAGCACTGCAGCGCTGTGGAAGCACGAGAGCCGTRTGGCATCCCACCCCCTATGGCACCGAGAGCACCAGGGTCTTCATCCTACTGCTGCACGAGGAACCCGTGAGACAGTTTGACATGTGGAGGGACTACCTGGGGCTGGCATCTCTGCTGCCCACTCTCCATGACCCTGCAGGTGTTCAGGACCCCTCGGTGCTGCCAGGCCCCCCAGCTCCRAGTGCAGGGCCGGCTCTGTGTGCTGGGCCAGCTCTGCATGCAGAGCCAGCTCCGCATGCAGGGCCAGCTCCGTGTGCTGTGACAGCTCCACGTGCAGAGCCGGCTCTGCATGTAGGGCCAGCTCCGTGTGCTGCGACAGCTCCGAGTGCAGGGCCGGCTCCAGGTGCTGGGCCAGCTCTGCATGCAGAGCCAGCTCCGTGTGCTGTGACAGCTCCGAGTGCAGGGCCGGCTCCAGGTGCTGGGCCAGCTCTGCATGCAGAGCCAGCTCCGCATGCAGAGCCGGCTCCGTGTGCTGTGACAGCTCCACGTGCAGAGCCGGCTCCGCATGCAGGGCCAGCTCCGTGTGCTGCGACAGCTCCGAGTGCAGGGGCAGCTCCGTGTGCTGGGCCAGCTCTGAATGCAGGGCCGGCTCTCCATGCAGGGCCAGCTCCGTGTGCTGTGACAGCTCCACGTGCAGGGCTGGCTCCGCATGCAGGGCCTGCTCCGCGTGCTGCCACAGCTCCGCGTGCAGGGCCGGCTCCGCGTGCTGCCACAGCTCCGCGTGCTGCCACAGCTCCGCGTGCTGCCAAAGCTCCGCGTGCTGCCACAGCTCCGCGTGCACGGCCAGCTCCGCGTGCACGGCCAGCTCCGCGTGAAGGGCTGGTTCTGTGTGCAGGGCCAGCTCCGTGTGCTGTGACAGCTCCACGTGCAGGGCCGGCTCCGCGTGCAGGGCTGGTTCTGCATGTAGGGCTGGTTCTGCATGCAGGGCCGGCTCCGCATGCTGGGCCAGCTCCACGTGCTGCCACAGCTCCGCGTGCTGCCACAGCTCTGCGTGCAGGGCTGGCTCCACGTGCAGGGCCAGCTCCGCGTGCTGCCACAGCTCCGCGTGCTGCCACAGCTCCACATGCAGGGCCAGCTCCACGTGCAGGGCCAGCTCCGCGTGCTGCCACAGCTCTGCGTGCTGCCACAGCTCCACGTGCAGGGCCAGCTCTGCGTGCAGGGCCAGCTCTGTATGCAGGGCCAGCTCCGCGTGCTGCCACAGCTCCGCGTGCTGCCACAGCTCCGCGTGCAGGGCCAGCTCCGCGTGCTGCCACAGCTCTGCGTGCAGGGCTGGCTCCACGTGCAGGGCTGGCTCTGCGTGCTGCCACAGCTCCGCGTGCTGCCACAGCTCTGTGTGCAGGGCTGGCTCCGCGTGCAGGGGCTGCTCCGCGTGCTGCGATAACTCCGTGTGCAGGGCCTGCTCTCCGTGCAGGGCCAGCTCTGTACGCAGGGCCTGCTCCACGTGCTGCCACAGCTCCGCATGCATGGCCGGCTCCGCTTGCAGGGCTGGCTCCGCATGCTGCCACAGCTCCGTGTGCAGGGCCTGCTCTCCATGCACCGCCAGTTCT